GCAGAATGTTTTCCTGGGGGAGGGGGAAGGAGTTGGCAGAATATTTTCCTGGGGGAGGGGGAAGGAGTTGGCAGAATGTTTTCCTGGGGGAGGGGGAAGGAGTTGGCAGAATATTTTCCTTGGGTAGGGGGAAGGAGTTGGCAGAATATTTTCCTGGGGGAGGGGGGAAGCACTCCTCAGCAGCAGGTGGTCAATTCTGAGATATACTCCACCAAGTTGTTTTTCATCTCCTTTTGTCTCTTTTGTGTTTCTCTCATTGTTTTTGTTTCCATCTTTCTTTTCCATTATTCCTTAGCAACAACCATGAATACACAGTGACGTAAATAGGAAAAAACACATTAATAACAAATCTGTTAAAATGTTCAGCAAGACAAAAGCAACATATTAGAGAGAGGGTCTAAATCAAAACAAACATCCTTCCGCCTGCCTTTTCCAATTACTTGACTTTTGATAATGCGTTATATTTACTCACCAACCACGAACCACTCAAGTGTATCTGAGACCAAGGCAATATCAACGGAGGGATAACTCGGACACCATTGATGAGAAGGATCAGGCCTTGGCGGATTTCAAGATACTAGATGAGACAGATGGAGTTAAAGGTAGAACAGGTTAGTAGATTCAGTAATAGGGGTATATGCCACACTGACTTCTGTCACAGTCATTGTATCTGGAGGCCAAGTCAAGTTTCCATTTCTAAAAAATGATATTACACATGATGAATGTCTATGATTGCTAAGGTGAGAATAATTTCATGAGGTGACGGACAGAAAATGCCCACCAAGTGTGTGTGGTATAGTGTTCTTTGCATGTGTGAAGAGTCCTTCGATGCCCACTGAGAGCGTAGTCACACAGTATATTCAATAATCACACTACTGAATATACCACATAAGTCATGTCCCCTGAGCGATACTAGCATACAGAGACGTTACAGAATTTCCAGGAAGGTTTTTGGCAGTAATAGGCTTGCAAGTATTTATGTCCTTGGCACATGTGGAATCAATCATCATGGCTATAATTCAAATTAAAATGGGCACAATGCAAGCACACCACAGGAAAAATAGAAACAGAGAAAACTTTTGAGCAAGGAAGCACAGAGTCTTCAACATAATTACTTAAAAAAGAGAGAAATGAGGAAAATACTTTTAAAAGTATTAATCTGCTTTGCTTGACTTCTTCAATGGCTTAATAAAATGGCTGTGGTTCAGAAATTCTATCTAATGACAAAGCATCGAGAGTGCAGTGTAAAAAGGTCTGACCGATTGGCATTTTGATTCTATGGGGGTTGATATGAGCCAACTGAATGGATTTTATTTTCAAACCCACTGATCCCTGTAACTGTGAGATTTCTCCCAGTCTGTGCAAACTGTCACTTACATAGCCATTCTCCTGGGAAGTGGAGAGAATTCTGATCATCTTTATGGATGTGACATTGGGGTTAGTGTCCGACCTCTCAGTGACCAGGGTCACAAAGAACTGAGGGACATCCTGCTCAAAGACGTTGTGCACAAGGACATGCTCACACTCGCTACCAAAACGATATCGGACTCCGTCAAACGTTTCCACATGGGGGTCACCAGACACAGTGCACCGGGCAAGAACTGAATACAGAGCAGGGCAAACAGGAGGGATGGCCATCAGTAAAGAATACAAATAATGACAAATTATGGGTGCAAGGGTAGGAATAATTTAATGGGGAGACAGATTAAGAGTTCCTTTTTCATAAGGAGAAGCTGAGTGAAATAGAACATCCAATCGCCTTCATTGTTTTATGTAATGCCTGAATAAATCCTCTTTGTACACAAGTCTCTGTTGTTAACTTCCAAGTTCAGCACACAAGACACAACACTAAAGTGTCATGACCCAAAGTTGACTGAAGTTTTGTTTGTGTGCTTGGGAAGTCACAACTCGTCCTCCCCTGTGTTCCTGATGGTCTCAGAGATGATTTTTACTAAATCAGACAGTGGCATGGGATTGGCGACCCACCAATCACACGATGGCAATGTATGTCAAACAATAAATGACTTTGTCACCCTTTTCAGTTTTTTGTTTCAAATTCCATGTTGTCTACCTCTTTATATTGAAAGACTAACATTTGTGAGCAACAAAGCATATTTAAAACATGCATGAGCATTTTTCTCTGGTAGATCAACAGCAATGCAATGAGATTAGATTTTCAGATTTCATTCAGCTTTTGTGTCTCTTTTATGAGTTGATTTGAATGGCTTGCAACTTGAATTGCCACTGTATAGCTTGTGATAGACCTCATTTAAAGGACTTGCAGGGACTTGTGATGGATCTGACCACAGCGTTGACTCTTACCCGATTCACAATTTTTACCGCCATATCCGGCAGGGCACCGACAGAGGTAATCGTCCTTTCCTATGATGACACAGGTGCCGTTGTTCTTACATTGATCAGGGTGGCAGGCATTGGCTGCAACAGAGTGGGGAGAAAAGTAGAAATCAGAGATAGAAACCTGTCAAGAAAGAGATGTGTACACAGCAATCCATGTGAGATACACCTGGCGATCAAGAGAAGTGTCTACATGAGCAACAGCATGAATTGAGCTTGAAGATGAGCCGGTGTTCACATAGGCTCAATTTACCTCTGCATCCACCACACCCATCATCTTCATATCCAGGCTTGCAGTGACAGCCGTATTTCTCCTCTTTGACCCCACAGAAGGCACCCTTGGGGCATCCTCGCTCCCTGCATTCAACGCGGTTGCCTGGGTGACAGGTGCAAACAGATTCGCATTCATGCGAGATGAAGACCTCCGATGCCTGTTAAAGAAATCATGGGAAATCATGAACTTAAGCAAACTTGCCAGAGCGTGAAATTATGGTTGGAGTTCAGACACTGCCAAACCACCGTTGGTATCTGTCCAACCAAAAGCAGATGTGCCCAGCCCATTACCACATGAAGGGGCACTTTATTTTGTAAGGAAAGTCAAAACCAGGCTTTTGAAGGCATAGTTGTCCCCACAATGTTTTGAACCCACAACATCTATATTTCAAAATGGAACAAGCATTAGAGGCTGGACAAACGTCCAAAGGAAATGTGAAAGTCAAAAAAGGTAAAAGTCCCAAAAGTAAAATCCTGTGGTCTATACTTCCACTGATTTTTACGCTTATGGCATTTCAACATTAAAGTTTCTCAAACACACTTAGCATTATACAATCATAACATTTAAACTTTAAACTATGCGACAGTGTTCTCATGTGACCTTGGTACATGTCTGATCAAAATCTGGTCATGGCAGGACAAAATTGACTGTGCTGAGTACGCTTTGTCCAACTACTTTTTTTGGCCTGATTTCAAGCTTTGCTTGGGATTATCTTTTTCTGCCATGTGGCTTCCATTACAGAGTCCATAAAAGAAATCACTAACCTTGCGATACTGCCCTTCATAGAAGCACCCACAGTGATCTTTGGGGACACACTCATCATTACTGAGGAAGAGATGTGGGGCGCAGGTACAGCCTGCTTGGTGAGGGAAGGGGCAAGGTAGACTCGCCTCCAAGATGACACCCAAACAAGTCTTGGGACACGCAGGGGTGCTAGGTTCAAATACCTGACCGTCCGAGCACGGTGGTTCTGGAAAGACGAGTGATACCAAAACATCAGTGAAGAGTGATATCAAAATCAGTGACAGCACTTCAATAGAAAAATTGCTCTTAATAGCTGCTAAAACGTAAAACTGTTAAAACTACACCAACATTATGTGATGTTCCAGAGTAAACATGATTTTTGTTTCAATATACATCTACAGAAATTGCTCAATGATAAATTTGAAGACGTAGAATAATTAACACATGGGCAGTTTTGATGTATAACTCCAGTCATCTAAGTTTTGTGGACAACTAGGAAATCATGAACAGAAGAAAAAAAATGGCTGAACAGATTCTCTGAGTGGAATCAACCGGCCAACCAACCACAGAAACCGGGAGCTCTCCAGGGGCCAACGTCCAGGCAGAGGTCCAGGCAGGCCGATTCAAAGGTCCACAGGCTGCCGCAGATGAGTGACCGATTGTCAGGGTTGCCGGAGGCACAGAGAGAGAAGACACAGTTATCATAGAACAGCATTGAGTCCAACTCCTTGCCACACTGGGCAAAAGGCCCTGGGAGAGAAAAGAATGATGATATAAAGAAACTCCAAACGCACAATATATTCCTCCTTGTCTGACTGTCTGACTGGTCTACAGCAATTTTTTTTCTGGGGAGAAAAACAAGAGCATCAAGAATCCAAAATGGAGATCTGACAGAACACGACATGTGAGAGATATCAAAGACTAGTGGGCTTTGGTTTCCTCAAAATTCATTAAGCCTCACCCAAGGAAAGCTTGCAAAATTGTTCTCACAAGTTCTTCGACAACACTTAGCATACTCAGGTCAAAACAATAACATGAAGAGTCAAATTTATCACTGAAATAAGTGCAAATTATGAAATTTCACTAGGGGAAATGGGAAGAGGATTTTGATGAGTATAAAATCATCAATTTGATGGAAAGTTTCCTAGACAAGTTTGATCTGGCTTAAGAAGATACAAGTCCACAATAACTGATGATACCTTACCATTTTCATCGACGATGATGGCACAAGTTGAGCGTGCTGCGGCCAATTCAATGTCCCCATTGCACGCGTTCTCCACGTCACTCCCGCGGTCCTCACACTCCTCAGGATTCACGACCCAACTGTTCCCAAATTCCACAGAGTTGCTGACCTAACCAAACCAAAATGCCAAAGACAGTGGCTCAACAATATTAGTTTTGCAAAATATGTTCAGCCTACCCAGGGTGTTTGGTGTAGGAATACATTTGACTCTATGGATCCTTCCTTAGGGAAAATTAGGCCTAAGGGAGGACGCAACATTCAGCATTCGGTAACTGGAGGTTTATCTCAAGATTTTACAGGATTTTGGGGTACCACAGGGTAAACCTTGAGTTTATTTTGCATTTTCATCTTGGAGAAGTTGTTAGATAATGGTTAGAGAAATTCCAACCAAGTTGTGGGAAATTCTTTGAGTCCAAACAACAATGTTGGTCTCTGCTATAGCGATCTGATACATCAAAAGTAGTTCCTGAACTACTCTAGCAACAGGTGCCAATGCAACGACAACGCTACTGCAGCAACGTTGCATGTCATTGCAGAGTATTAAGTGGCAATCAAAGTTTTTAAAACCCAACACTGAATTGAGATTTGAGCATGCTAATAAAAGATGCAGCCCACCCTTCGTCCGTCCGGTGTCTCCTCCAGAATATTGTCGGCATTGCCATCTGCATTACCACAGAGTCCACACAGCGACACATTGGCCAGCAGTTTAGTGTCTAGCCAGACGTCCACCTCAAAATACCCATTCCATCGCACAGTCAGACCATAAGGCGTGGTCAACAACTACATAGCAGGGAGCAGTGGAAAAATATGACAGGTAACGCCTACTACAGACAGTTACAAGTTACAAAAACTCTGATGCAATACCCCTTTAATTGCATGCACTGTTCAATTCTTTAAGTTTGAGACCATTTGGTTGTTCCCTCATTAAACTGATTATTAAATTTACAAAGCCAAACTTGATAAAACTAATACATCTGGTCATGCAAATTTACTGTTAATTCTACAGAAAGCTATTCTTTATTTGTTTAAACTATGATTAACATCTCTAGCAGGTTGCTCTTTCCTGGTTGGAAATTGAAGGAAGCTAAATCTATTAATATATCAACTAATCACTTAACTAATGAGTTGAGAACTCAAGTTAAGCTTAGAACACAACACCCATGTAAATTATCCATTTACTGTGTACAAATATCCTCATCTAAAGATCATGATGACCATGTTCAATGCACGTTCACCACTGTGTAAGACACTCACCATGTGGGTGCCTGACACTACATGAATGCCCTCATGCGCAAAAGGAGTGTTGACAGGTCTCCCTTCCACGGTCAGTTTCTTGTGCTGATGCAGGCCAAACTTCTGCACAGGAAGAAAACAGACTCCCCATTGAAAAAAAAAGACTTGCCTGCAGTAATGATGGCACTGAGGGCTTGAGATCAGGGATCAGGGAAGCAGCGATTTATACTGAGATGCATTACCCCAGATAACTCTCAGTATAAATTGCTTATAGAATCGTCACTGTTTCTTAAGATAAGTTTTTGAGCTGAACCTCTTCAGAGCTTGACGGCTATGGTCAAGCAACTACAACGCACTTAAATAGTCGACAAATTTCAAGCATTGTGAAAGACATGTAAGTGAATGTATCCTTTTTAATTCACCACTTGTAAGATTGAACAGGAGTACCAATGCTCTAGACTTTCAAAATGGCTCAACACAGGATTAAGATGAAGAAAAGTTACAAGTGAGTGAAAGTAACATCTGACCATCCTCTGTTTTGTTATTTACCCCTTGGGGTCTTTTCTGACTTAAGTAACCCATCCCACCCTTTGGCGTTCCAATCCTTGCAGAGACATTCAACGAACAACATTTCATCTGCTTACCGGGCCATCGTGGCCACTTTGCACAACCACTTCCTGGACTTTGGTCAGCTCCTGTCTTCCTACCACCTGCTCGCTCCGGATATACACCCTGAATAAGGGCTCCTCTGAACAATCGGCGGCCAGCGTGTACCAACAGGTGCCAAAGAAGTTGTAGTTGGCTCCATCAAATGTCCGGAAGTGCTGCGGACTACCGTACACACTGCACTCTTTGCGCGCTGGAAGAAAGACAACAGAGAGTTCAGAGTTCTACTTTTTGTAATTTTCAGATGTAATTTTCCATGGGATCACTTTCCTACCGTTCTACCAACTGAGCCAGAAAAGTATGTACTGTCAGTCCCAAAGGGTCGTAGCTTTGGTTTGAGGGGAGTTAGTCAATAGCCATGAGACCTATGTGTACCATGAGATCCAACCCACAATTCTGCCAATGACAACGTCAGAAATGTTGCAAACTGAGACAATGTGGCAAGTGCAGTTCACTCAGGGAGGAAAACACCTTTTTATTACAAAACATGGAAAACCGTGTTTTCAATACATTTATTGATTGCTCTTTTCTGAGGACTGTCTAAACAGAAAACTCACTTCATGACCAATTACATTTAGTGAATTATTGCCAGAACACTGTGCAGGACCAATCATGGAAGCATTGCTGAGTTTAATCATGAGACAACTAAGATGATTCATAGCACTAGATTGGTTCTCAATCCATTGATTGATTGCTCTTTACTGAGGACTTTTTATTTCCAGAACACTGTGAAGGACCAATCATGGAAGCATTGCTGAGTTTAATCATGACACAACTACTCCTTTTCAAACATGCCTTGAAACCAACATTTCCACATGAGTAAATTCCCCAAACGCTAGTATTTATTACAGCTATCATGCCATACAATTATGTCTGTGGTTTTCCAAACAGGCATTACAGTGTGTGATGAACACGGTTGTCAGTTATTTTCAGAAGAAGAAAGAACAGGAAACATGTACCCACCCCCCCAAAGGTAGCCACGTACCTCTTTCACAGTTCATGCCCGTCCAGACTGGCTGGCAAACACACACGTAACTGAAGTTGCCTGTAACTTCACACTTGCCCCCGTTGACACAAGGATTGCTATAGCATGGATCCACTAAAACAAATAGGAAAAGCACAGGATATGAATACAGAGAAATCTCAGTGAAATCAGGGGCAAATCATTAAATAATTTACGAAGCTTACATATGGAATACAGGATATATTCAAATTGAAGTTATTCAATTAAAACTATGCATTTTTTTTAATGAAACCTTGATTTTAAAATTTTATTCCTTTGGTCTTTGAAGAAAATGTAGACACCAGCAATAACAAGACAAACAGTGCGGTGAATTTTTCCTCTAACAGACGGCACACGATGGGAACCACAACATTTCTTCGCGCTTGCTGACTATGATGTAAGGTCCTCACAAATAAGGAAAACCAACTGGGTTAATTTACCTCACGTGATAATGGAGACTTCTTGGTTTACTTTCTTGCAAAATATGTATGTGTCTATAGAAAGGGAAGAGAGATGCAAGTACCCGTGCAGATGGAGCCATTTCCAACATATGGATGTTCACAGTGGCAGCCATACTGCCCATAGTCATCAGCAGTGCATTCCGACTGACAGTGGCACTCTAGGGGCCGGCACCGGAAGGTACCACCGTCGCATTCGCACTTCTCCCTGCAGCCGTGAGACACAAACTCCTGGCCGTCCTAAGAAATGAAGGATTGAGATGTGATCAAATGAAAAACTCTTGAAGTCTCAGATAAACGGACAAGAAAGCCACTGACATGGCTCAGACTGCTGAAATGCATTTCCGTATGTTGAAGCTTGAAACAACAGGCTAAAAATTCTCACTGTGATCCAGGTATGTCTCTAACCGGAATGGACCATTCGAAAGCGTGCCCAAGATTTGACCAATGTTTCAACTGGGGACACGTGTTGTTCCTAAGGTCATTTTAGTCACAACAGGCCTGTTCAAGTAGGCAATGCTCTTGTCAGAACTTTAAGATAAACTGAACCATACAGGCTGTCCTGTCCTTGCAGTTTTCATACATGTCGCTGCTAACATCTGCAAGTAGAAAGAGCTGACTTGAGTTTACATGTGGGTGCGTGAGCAGCAGGTAGGACTTTTGGGTAAGTGAGAGCATGCTCTCGCTCACACCAGGCGTATAACTCTCGCATCTTTTTTTTTTTGTTTGTTCAAGATGGCAAAAAGAGGACTGCTGCCTATTCACGCAATCTGATCTGAGGAAAATGGGCATACAACGTTTCATCTGCTCCCCCCACCGTGGTATGAAAAGTCACAGATGCTGAGGCAGCCTGAAATTGCAACTTGCCAGGTAGTACGCTCCTCCGTACAGGAACCTATCCCTGCAGCCACACTCTTCCTCAGGCACACAGTGCACACCGCTCAGCACAAAACCTTCCTTGCACCTGCAGCCTTCAACGCAGGGGATCCCTTCACATGGTGTGCGATCATGCCCACGAACGTCATCGCAGGTGCGGGGGCAGGGACTGGCACAGAAGCTGAACTCAGAGTTTGGAGGGCATTCCACACCTAATTCCATGTCATAACAATGCCAAAAAGGGTCCATGAAATGAATTTCTCTTGGATGTACGCTTCATGTGTCACTTCATGTTCTGCCCCAGTGGATGAAAACTATAGTTGACATCCTTTTGGGATGTGGTCGCAGAGTTTGAGCATTTCCGACAATTCAAACTAAGGAATGAATATGTGAAGTGACTTTAACGTCATGAAACACTTTTAACAGATTTTCACAGACACTAAAATGTGCCAGTGTTTGTCCATTTCATAGAGTGAACAGTTCCCACAATATCACCACTGGCTTCCGTATCATCATTCCAGCTAAGTATGACCTTTTTTGCGCTTGACCAATAGGGGTAATACTCACCACAGGGTTCAGGAAGCATGTCTCGGGGCGTTGGCCTGCCTCCTTGAGCCTTACACTCAGCGACGGCTTCAGCAGCATAGTGGCAACCGTACCGAGGGTTACGGAGTAAGCAGCTATCGGCGATGCAGAGGATGAAATAGTACTCTAGGTAAGGTCCAGAACAGGACTCTGAACAAAGGGGTGTGAAAAATCATTGACCAGTTTTAGACCTTGGTTTCTGTGTAGGAGAGGGGTTCATGGACGAGCGTGCCAAACAGGACCAATTTTGTGGCACTTCTTACTCATAAGCAAAATGAAGGCTTTGCTAAATGCAGCAGCAAGTTGTCAGCGAATGGTTGGTACATATCAAAGGTTAACACCAAAGCTGGATTACAAAAATGGGTAAGTCCTGTGAACACAGAGTCTATGCATCATGTACTTGGTTGGCACAGTAAGCAAAGAATGCTTAGCATAACAGTGAAACAATTCTGTGGTTAGCAGAGCCAGAGGGTGTAGATGGCTGTGCAGTTCGGGTTTTCTATAATGGAAGGGACATCTCATTCATTGTAATTATCATTACAAAGGGACAATTTCTGTAATTAATTATTAGCAGATAAGGGCAGATCTAGGCCCCCCCCAAAAAAAAATAAATAAAAAGGAACAATGAAAAATACTTCTGGGTCAAGTTCATCTCCCTTTGATTGAAAACCATGTCAAAAGTGCCAAAATGTAGTCTGTTAACATTTTTAAAAATGATTTTGTCCCCCCACAAATAAGGTTCCAGGTCCATTCTTGCAAGTAGACAACAGCTTTCTAATCAATGAGTTGACAGTAAGCAAACGGACAACTCTGTTACCAAATTCAAGCAAAAAGCTTTTAATTCCATTTCTAGTTGCAATATTTTGGACCATTCTACATTCTTCCATATTACAAACATCCTTCTTTACTTTGCTGCAGCAAAACACATGAATAAAACAAGTTTATTACAGGTAAATGTTGCTAATGAATACCAACCTGAGAAAGACTGAAACAGATTGGCACAGAAACTGTTGATCTGACCAATTTCCGCACAATCCTGGACAAAGAAGACAGGGCTGATGTTTCCTTCATCAGGCCTACAATCCTCATCATTCTGAAGCCAGCTATTCCCAAATTCAGCTGGGCTTTGCACCTGACAAAATAATTCAGGAAGAACAGGGTGAACAAATTAATAAAACACAGATCCACTGAAAACATTTGCTAACATTTGCTTAACTCCGGAAATGACAGCTATGGCTGAATAACCTTACTGTAAAAAAGTAAATACAATTTATTCCCATTGGTCATGGCAGGTTGATATTGAAATAAACATGTGATGAAACACATTGCTTTGTCGTAACTGACTTTGAAGGGGTGAAATCAGGGTCAATGGACAGAAAGATCCAATGACATGCAAGTTACATATGCTGTATACTATTGAAGTCCACAAGAATGCTCAGTGTGTAGTCATCACAGTAGCAGTTGTTCTGTATTGCAATTTTGGTCACCAGTGCACCCGGCCAGTGCCCATTCAAACATGTGGCTACCTGCCTTGCAAATGCATAGTCTACAAGAGGATTTTCAGCCAAACCAAGGTCCGACCAAATCATGCCCTGCACACGTTAGGGTATTAGCTGATACAAAAGTGACACCATATCTGGAACCATTTACAGACCAATATCAACTACTTTTGTGGACAAAATTAAATAAAGCAAAGGTCTACCCCCTTGTCCTGCAAAAACCGTGATGATGGACTAATGTATTTTTCAAATGGCCAAGTAATGCCAACTCCAGAAGATGCAAGTAACTTTACCTAGAATTCTTATTCAAATAGGCTTGACTGGAAACTCTGTCTTTGAAAGTGCAAAAATGAGAACATAAAACAACTTTAGGTGAGATATTTCAAAGTGGCCTACCTGATCTCCCTCTTTAGGCACCAGATCATTTGTTTGGTTCCCATCATAGCTGCTGCAAAGGCCACATGTCTGGTTCTTGAACTCCCCTGGCAGGCGAATAGCAACATCACTATGGCCATCCCAGAACACCTGCAAGCCAAAAGCTGTGTGCAAAACCTAGGGGGGAAACAAAAGAGTCAGAGACATACAAACAATGAATTTGGAATGGGCTTTTTGAGAGATTTAGTGTTTAGGAGATTAAGTTATTGTATTAATAACTTTTTGAGCGAAGGACGTGCATTCACAAGTATATGAAGTCTGTGCAGGTGGGCAGTGTTTTGTATTTGAACTTGGATGCTTGAAAGGCACATTGTCGGATCAAATATTGCTTCATGGGTATGCCCTGAAGTGTTGAAAACTCTTACAAATCCGTTTTTGTGGCATTTGGCTAGATATTAAAAGTTGGCCACAGTATCTTGATTTTTTGAAAGTCAAATTTTCATCCAACATAACAACATCAGCAAGTGGCTTAGTAACTCATTGTAGCGTCGGCTACTACCTTGGATTTAACCTAGCCAGTTGAGTTGGATAAGGTGGTTAGGCACTCACGGCATCTGAACTAGTAATTATTGACTCTGTGAGCTGCTCCCTGCTTGAGCAAGCTAATGACTTTTTCCTCAGAAAGGAAAGACACATTTAGGCAAGCGGGCAAATCCTCCATCAAATTAAAAGAAGTGACATCCCACAGTGTCAGATACAGACTTCTCTCCTGGCAGGCAAATACTTTTTATTTGGTATTTTTGATAAATATTTGTTCGACATATTTTAATTTCAAACAAAAAAAACCACAGCCCAAAGTAAGCATCCCCCTCATCTCTAATAACTGCATCTTTCATAACAACCTTTTCCCAAACAGAAGACTGCATGTGATGGACGCCCATGATTTAAGATAGGCATTGACATTCTGAAGAGGTTAATAACAATGTCTTCTCTGAGATTGTGTCAATATCCTACCACTCTGTTTCCAATCCATTCAATGCGAACTCCCTCAAAGCTTGTGACTGGCAGATTCCAGCGAACACCGTTCACAAGGACGACATGGTCTCGCTTCAGTGTGAAGACCTTCAATATGACAAAACGAAATAACATTTGTACACATTATAAAAACGTTGTCACATTTCTGTTGGAGTTTCAGACTTCCTTCAGAATGTCTATACATCAATTCACTGTGAATTAGCTTA